TGTTTCCGCACATAAGTATTCGCTCATGCCTTCGCTCATACTTTGTACTCGTTTGACACATTGTGCAATCCTCGTTCCATTGCAACCGTAACAACTACTAACCTTACGCACGTACAGAATAATAATAATAATAATATTGCAAATATACTGTAAGGAGTTTTCCCGAATTCCTTACCCGACTTGACTGCTACGCGTACCGCCCGATTTTCGGACTCTGCACGTTCGGCCGACGTCAACGATGCCAAGGCTCCTCGCGTCGCGTTTGGCTTTCCGATCGCCAAACTCTCCGAATCCACTGTGCAGGAATGAATGAACTGTGAATGAGTTGGGTACAAATACTCACCCTAAAGTGTTGTATCCTTTGTAGTCTAACCCACTATAGCCTAGAGAGAACATAAACATACAGTTTGACACACCCCCATAGGCTAAGTGGGAGAGAGCAAACACAACAGATGGTCACAAGACCAGTCAAGCAAGAGAACAAGCAAAGCAAAGCTCAAGGTGGATCTCAACGACACCACACAATCTGAGCACAAGCAAGCGGCCACAAGGCCAGTTCACATGCAGAGTTTTAATAGCAAGGCAATACACTAATCACAACCTAGCAAGAGTAAACAAGCACGTATGAAGATATATATTAGTGTACAACAAGAGCAAGTCAAGCAACCTGCAGGTGAGGAAGAGTGGGCACAAGCCCAAGGGCAGTGCAGAATCGCTGATGATCACCAGACCCAAGGGCCTTGGTGAAGACAGCCGCCAGCACCAGAGGGGTTGAGTGGCGGGTAAGGGGGTGGAAGAAGTAAGTCGGGCATTTGCAGTCGTTGTCTGTAGCAGGCACGCCCCCGGAGGTGCTGTGCGGTGCTGTCCAGCTGCTTGTTGCAGCCACAACGCCTGCTCTCACGCCCACCTGCCGGGTCCTGCACCTGTTGCTGCTGCATCTGCCGTGGCTGAGGTCACTATGGCTCTATATGCCATCACTACATCTGCTGCCTGTAGCAGGCACGCCCCCGGAGGTGCTGAGCCACGCTGTCCAGCTGCTTGTTGTAGCCACGGCGCTTGCTCTCACGCCCACCTCTCGGGTCCTGCACTTGCCGTTATTGCATTTAACATGGTTGATCTGTGTTGCTGTTTCCCTTGCTTCTTCTACCTCTTGCCCAGGTTCCGGGGGTGTGACTTGCTATAGTAATGTGCGGCAGGCAGTTAAGGGGGTGTGTCGCAATATATATTTTATATATGTTTATAACTGCCTGTAGCTTTAGCTTTAGTGTAGTTATGCCTTCTTTTTGTTGGTGGTGCACTGTTGCTATTTTGCTATTTGTACCTTGTGTGCTATAGTGAAACCAATCATTCTCGATTCTCTCCTTGGTACAACCACCTCGACACCTGCTTGGCCTAGGCTACCAAGCTTAGGCCCTTAGTAAACTCTGGTTCCTAGACTAAGTTCGTTTTGTAACAAGCGAGTCTTGCGGTCCTTGAGGAGGAGAAAATAGAGGCTCCCATCCATGGCGGCCACGCGAAAGGGGCCGTAGAGGTCAATGTGCACAACTTCGAGCAGGGTTTCAGCGTCCGATCCCTTCGGAAAAGTATGACGCGCCAGCTTGCCACCGACACAGGAGGCACACGGCACATCGGCTCCAGTTGACTTCTCGATGTCCAGGCTGATGGCAACTTAATGTTTCGCCGAACTCATAATCGTGGCAATGCCGACATGCGCGAGCCTCGTGTGCCACTTAACCGGCTTCGACTTCGTCGCCGATATGGTTGTCCGCAGAGCAACTGCTTCTATCGCAGATGTAGTCGATTTCGAGGAGCAGGGGCGGAGGTCGGTGCAGAGGACTCGGCCTGTGTAGCATGTGTCAAACTTATATGCTATAGTCTGTGTAGGCTGTAGTGGGGTAGCTCATATGGGGTACAACACTTTAGGGTTTCCCACTTGTACTCCTCATGCTGCTCAATGCAATCATTCCTTGTTCTTTCACATGGTATCAGAGCAGGTTCCCTAGTGGGAACGTTTCCTAGGGCCCACCACTGAAATTTTTTTTCGTGCCCGGAGCGTGCTTCCCTCCTTTCCGAGTCGCGCCCCGTGTGCCCTCCCTACCGTCGCGCCCCTAGCCCTTAGCGGCCCGTCGCGCCCTCCTCAGGCCCCTCGAGGCCCCCTTTCGCGGCCCCTCACGGCCCCTCTTGCGGCCCCGTCGTCGCCGCTCTAGGCCCGTCGCGGCCCCTTTGCGGCCCCGTTGCCGCCTCTAGCGGCCTCATCGCCGCCCCTCTAGGCCCCTCGCGGCCCCTTCGAGGCCCCGTCGCCGCCTCTCTAGGCCCCGTCGCCGCCCCTCCAGGCCCCTCGCGGCCCCTTCGCGGCCCCGTCGCCGCCCCCTCTAGGCCCCTTACGCCCCTCTGCGACCTCGTCGCCGACCCTAGCAGCCCCGTCGCCGACCCTGGAGGCCCCGTCGCCGCCCTTCGGGGCCACCTCGCCACCCTTCGCGGCCCCGTCGCTGACCCTAACGGCCCCGTCGCCGACCCTAGCGGCCTCGTCGCCACCCCTAGCGGCCCCGTCGCCGCTCTTCGCGGCCCCGTTGCCGCCTCTACCGGCCCCTTCACCGCTAAGCCGTCCAGCAGCTGAGCAGCCGAGCCACCACGCCGCCAGCCGCCCAGCAGCCGAGGCGCCCGACAGTCGAGCCGCCGAGCCGCCCAGCAGCTGAGCCGCCGAGCCGCCGAGCCGCCCAGCAGCCGAGCCGCACAACACCCGAGCCGCCGTGACGCCCAGCAGCCGAGCCGCCCTGCCGTCGAGCCACTACTGTTCCTACCGGCGCGCCCCGGCCCTACTCCCTTGGACTGGTGAGCTCACTCCCTACTAGGCCACTTCAGTCATGGCTACCCCCAGTGTCCTTACCTTTGATACTGAGGGTCGTACTGTTGACTTTGAGGTCTGGGTTGATGACCTCCAGCTGTTCCTACAGTGCGATAGGGCAGACGGACTCTCCCTGTTCGATCTCACCTCTGGTGTCTCTCCTGCCCCGCCTGCTACTGCTGACAGCACTGTTCGCTCACAGTGGGCCACGCGCGATGCTATTGCACGTCTTGCTGTGCGTCGCCACTTACCGACCACTGAGCGTGCGCACTTTAGCCAGTACAAGAGTGCTAAGACCTTGTACGACGCTGTAGTTGCACGCTACTCTTCCCCTGCCACTGCTGCGCTTAGCCGCCTCATGCTACCGTACCTGTTCCCTGACCTTGCTGACTTTCCCACGTTCACTGACCTCATTACGCACCTTCGCACTAGTGACACTCGCTACCGCGCTGCGCTTCCTGCTGAGTTCTGTGCCAAGAACCCCCCCCCCCCCCCCCCACATGTACATCACCCTCTACTACATAGTCACCCGGCTCCCTGACTCCCTTCGCTTAGTCAGGGACCACTTCCTCTCAGTTTGCCCCACCACACTCACCGTTGACCTCCTCGAGGAGCGCCTCCTAGCAGCAGAGAAGAGCATAGTCGATGTAGGAGCCTCTCGTGGTGACCCTCGCACCCCCGTTTTTGAGGGGTGTTCTCCCTCCCCCCTCTTGCCCTCTGTTGTTTCTTCTGCTGCGGCCGACCTCGTTGGTTTCGAGTCGTTCGGCGCTGCGTCTGCCCCTAGTGGGAGACGCCGCACTGGCAAGGTCAAGGGGGGCAAGGGCGTTGGAGGGGCTGGCGGGGGCAGTGGAGGTGGTGGTGGAGGCAGTGGAGGAGGTGGGGTTGGTGGTGGGAGTGGTGGCGGGGGTGGAGGTGTCGGTGGCAGCAGTGGAGGCGGAGGAGGCGGCGGTGGTCGCGGAGGGAGCGGAGGCGGCGGAGGTGGCGGAGGTGGCGGAGGTGGCGGAGGTGGCGGAGGGAGCGGAGGCGGCGTAGGTGGCGGAGGTGGCGGAGGTGGCGGAGGTGGCGGAGGCAGCGGTGGAGCTAGTCGCGGCTCTGCGCAGAGGAGTGGCTCCGGTGGTGGTCCGCGCCAGCAGCAGCAGCGCAATCGTGAGACCCTGTCCCCTTAGCAGCTTCGCGAGTGTTACGCTGGGCGTCAGCGGGGTGGGGGTACTAGTCCCTGCACCTACGTCCTCCGTACAGGCGACAGCGCTGGTGAGCAGTGCTGGGGCACGCACTCCACCCAGCGCTACTTCGGCTGCCTGACGGATGTTTGGCGTCATCAGTTCCCTGATGCCACTAAGATCCCTCGCTGGGGAGAGCTGTCTAGGGCGGGGGTTGCTATCTTTGATCATGACTTTGATGCTATTTTTGCTGCCATGTATGCTCTGTCCACTAGTGATAAGGGTGACTGTTACCTGTGCGTTCCGCCTGACCCGGGCATTGAGGCTGCTGCTCTAGGTGCTGGTGAGGCTGCTGCTCTAGGTGCTAGTGCGTCTGCTGCCCCAGGTGCTGGTGAGTCTGCTCTCTCAGGTACCACGTCGGCTCAGGCCTTGCACACCTTCACCCTTGACTCGGGTGCTTCCCGCTCCTTCTTTCGGGACCGCACCGCGCTTAGGCCGCTTAGTCGGCCAGTTGCGGTCTCCCTGGCGGACCCCTCTGGGGGTCCTGTCCTTGCTAGCTTCTCCACTGTCTTACCGTGTCCGGCAGCCCCCTCTGGCACCCTGTCAAGTCTCTACCTCCCCTCGTTCTCTACGAACTTGGTAAGTGGAGCTGATCTACAGGATCTGGGGGTTGACCAGTTCACGCCTGCGAGTCAGCGGGTGACCCACTGTACGTGTGCTCGGACGGGCCGACACTTGGCCACGTTTACCCGTTGGCTGGGGTCGAGCCTGTACACACTGACCACTGAGTCTCCTCCTGTTGCTGAGTCTGGCCAGGTAGCTGCGTCGAGTCAGGTGTTTGCTGCAGCGTCCAGGTCTGGTCCTGAGTCTCGGTCTGGTCCTGAGTCAGGTCTAGTCCTGGTCCTGAGTCTCCCTGCTCGTGTCGTCTCCTGTCCCACCAGACTCTCCTTTGGCACCACCGCCTTGGTCACCCCTCCCTGCCTCGTCTCCGAGGCATGGCCTCCCGTGTCCTTGTCTCTGGTCTCCCCCGGTCCCTCCCTCCCCTACCTACGGGGCCTACCCCTACCTGCGTCCCCTACGTCGAGGGACGACAGCGCGCCCCCTCACTCCTCCGAGTTTCCTTCGACAGAGGCTCCCCTTCAGACTCTTCACACTGACGTGTGGGGCCCCGCCCGCGTCCGTGGCCAGGGTCACGAGCGTTACTTCCTGTTGGTGGTTGACGACTACTCGCGTTACACCACGGTGTTCCCCTTGCGCAGCAAGGGTGACGTCATTGAGGTGTTGATCGACTGGATCCGCGCAGCTCGTCTTTGGCTCAGAGAGAGTTTCGGCTCGGACTTTCCTGTTCTGCGTCTGCACTCTGACAGAGGCGGAGAGTTTTCCTCTGCCCGTCTGGGAGCCTTCTCTCGTGCACAGGGCATCCGCCAGACCTTCACGCTTCCGGCCTCTCCACAGCAAAATGGGATTGCTGAGCGCCGCATTGGCATGGTCATGGACATCGCTCGTACGTCCATGATCCATGCGGCTGCTCCCCATTTTCTGTGACCGTTTGCGGTTCAGTACGCAGCGCATCAGCTCAACCTTCAGCCCCGGGTCTCCTTGCCACAGACCTCCCCCACCTTGCGGTGGACGGGGAAGGTTGGCGATGTGTCTGCGTTTTGGGTCTGGGGATCTCGGGCGTTTGTCCGCGACTTGTCTGCGGACAAGCTGTCCCCCCGTGCTGTTCCCTGCGTCTTCCTTGGCTTCCCCCCTGACGTGCTTGGTTGGCAGTTTTACCACCCCTCCTCGCGCCGTGTTCTGTCCTCCCAGGACGTCACCTTTGACGAGTCGGTGCCTTACTACCGTCTCTTCCCCTACCGCAATGCCCCCCTCCCCCCGCCGCCGCTCTTCCTTACGCCAGGTCCTCCCCCAGTAGACCCCCTCCCCCCTCAGGGTCCTGCCCCGTCAGGTGTGTCCCAGGTAGACGCAGTTGAGCCTTTCGAAGAAGTTGTTGACTCTGGTGCTGCTAGGGGCGCTGAGCCTACGGGTGCCGGGTCTTGGGGTGCGGAGCCTAGGGGTGCTGAGTCTAGGGGTGCTGAGCCTGGGGGTGTTGAGTCTAGGGGTGCTGAGCCTGGGGGTGCTGAGTCTGGGGGTGCTGAGCTTGGGGGTTCGGAGCCTGGGGGTGCTGGGTCTGCTCGTGTGGACTCTGGCGGTGCTTCGTCGAGGCGGGAGCTACTCTCTCTGCAGGAGTTGCGCGAGTGGTTTTACCGGCGCTGGAGCCGTGCTGCTAGAGCTGGAGGTACTACTATTGCTGCTGGTCCTGGAGGTTCTTGTCCTGGCGGTTTTGGAGCTGCTGGGACTGGGAGTCCTGCTGGAGGTACTGCTAGAGCTGCTGGCGGTACTAGATCTGACGGTCCTGCTGGAGTTGGTGCTACTGGAGCTGCTGGAGCTGTTGGAGCTGGAGCTGCTGGGGGTGTTGGCGCTGGTGGTTCTGCTGGCGCTGGTGCTTCGCAGGGTGCTGGAGTTGGCGCTGTTGGAGCTAGAGGTGCTGCTGGCGTTGGTGCTGCCGTTGGGGGTACTGGTGCTGTCCCTGCTGGTTCTGGAATCACTTTGCGGCCGAGGCCGTACTTCGTTCCGCTCCTTGAGCAGGTTCTTGGTCTCCCGCCCTCTACTGGTCCAGCTCCTCCCTTAGCGTGTCCACATCTTATCCAGTTGCGGTCACAGTTACAGCCCGCCTCCCCCCTGCCTGCTCCTTCTCCCTACACTTGTCCTACTGGAGGTCTTCCTGAGCGTCGTGAGCCTGCGTCTCGTCCTGTGTCGCGTGTTCGTGCTGCTCGCAATACTAGTCGTGCTCCGCGTCCGCGTCCTCCTGCGGCCCCGGCACACACCAGATGGCACTGCGTCCTTCCACTGCTCCTGTGCGTGTCCCTTTGTCGTCTCCTCCTGAGTCCTCTCTTCCTACTCTTACTGACCCTGAGTCTGACTCTCTTCGTGCTGCCAGTCCTTCTGTCACGCGCCTCCTGGCTACTGTTGTCACTAACCCTTCTTTTGAGTCCACTGCTGCGTCTGCCTTAGTTGCTGAGCTTGTCGACTTTGCTGCTCGCTGTCGTCTAGACTACGCTACTAGTCTTGTTGCTGAGTCTGGGTCTGTCTGTCCTCCGTCCGTCGGGGGTGAGTGTGCTCTTATTACGGACGTCCTTGAGGATAGGCAGGAGGAGTTCCAGTGTTTTGCTGCTGCTTTGCCTCATCGCATGTCCACGCTGATTGCCCCTAAGGGAGACCCAGATGCACCAGACATCCCGACGCCTCGATCGTACGCTAAGGCGATCGAGGGTCCCTACTCCTCTCATTGGCAGTCAGCCATGGACGCAGAGATGGCTTCCTGGAAGTCCACAGGCACCTACGTCGACGAGGTTCCCCCACCTGGGGCGAACATCGTCAGTGGCATGTGGATTTTCAGGGTGAAGCGGCTGCCGGGCTCTCCGCCTGTCTTCAAGGCGCGTTACGTGGCTCGAGGCTTCAATCAGCGGCAGGGAGTTGACTACTTTCAGACCTTCTCCCCCACCCCGAAGATGACCACTCTTCGGGTGCTGCTGCACATAGCCGCTCAGCTCGACTACGAGCTTCACTCTCTTGACTTCAGCACATCTTTCTTGCAGGACAGCCTGCATGAGGAGATCTGGCTGTGCCGCCCACCTGGCTTCACTGGGTCGTTTCCTCCTGGTACCCAGTGGAGCCTCCGGCGGCCAGTCTACAGTCTCCGCCAGGCGCCCCGTGAGTGGCACGACACACTGAGGACTATACTTGCGGCTCTTGGGTTTGCTCCGTCTACTGCCGACCCGTCGCTGTTTCAGCGCACCGACACCTCCTTGACGCCGTTCTACATCCTCGTGTACATGGACTTGGACTTTGCCACAGCTGACACTGATGGACTCGCCCACGTGAAGTCCGAGCTGCAGAAGAGACACACGTGCAGAGACCTGAGTGAACTGCGTAGCTACCTTGGCTTGCAGATCACCCGGGACAGAGCACAGCGCACCATTACCCTGACTCAGTCACACATGGTGTAGCAGGTCCTTCAGCGCTTCGACTTCACGTACTCCTCGCCTCAGGCCACTCCTTTGTCTACTCGCCACTCGCTCTCTGCTCTGCCTTCGGATGAGTCCGTAGAGCCAAGTGGCCCGTACCCAGAGCTTGTTGGCTGCCTCATGTACCTGATGACCTGCACACGACCTGACCTAGCATACCCTCTTAGCATCTTGGAACGCTATGCTGCTCCTGGGAGACACCGACCAGAGCACATGGCTGCAGCGAAGAGGGTGTTGCGCTACTTGTGCAGTACGTCGGGCATGGGGCTAGTGCTTGGAGGGCGACGTCCAGTGGTCCTCACAGGTCATGCAGACGCTTCTTGGGCTGACGACCAGGCTACGCAGCGGTCGTCACAGGGTTACACCTTCAGCCTTGGCTCCGGCTCTGTTTCGTGGCGGTCTACCCGCTCGTCTTCTATTCTCGGCTCCAGCTATGAGGCTAAGATCTACGCAGGGGCCATGGCTGCACAGGAGCTACGCTGGCTCACCTACCTGCTGTCTGACCTAGGAGAGCCGCCTCGTTCTCCTCCAATTCTGTACGTAGACAACAAGGCCATGCTGGTCTTGTGTCGGGAGCACAGACTGGAGCAAAGAACGAGGCACATTGCTCTTCGCTACTTCCTTGCACGTGAGCTCCAGCAGCGCGGTCAGCTGCGCCTTGCTTACGTGGCCTCTGAGGCCAACACCGCTGATATCTTTACCAAGGCACTTCCGCCTTGTGATCATCAGAGGTTTTGTACTATGCTAGGTCTTGTGCCTACTTGGCCTCACTTGCTCACTTCTTGACTTTGCTTGTATTGTGATCTATATATACCTGCACTTGCATGCTTAACCTTGCTAGGTTGAGATCACTGCCTTGTTTGTTCATCTTGATATATAACTCTGCATATGAACTGGCCTTGTGGCCTTGTGCTTGTGCTCAGATTGTGTGGTGACGTTGTGATCCACCCTGAGCTTGCCTTGCTTCTCTTGACTGGTCTTGTGACCTCTTGTTCTCCCCCACTTTGCCTATGGGGGTGTGTCAAACTTATATGCTATAGCCTGTGTAGGTTGTAGTGACAAGATACTAGCAATGGGTAGGCTTAGGAGCCATGGTTGAGTTCGAGTAAGTTTAGGAGAGTCGAGAAATTGGAAGAGAAGAAGAAGTTTCACTATAGAGCGAGCAGTACATATAGGCAAAATGAAAGGTGCACCACCAAAACAGAACATTGTATAACTACAGTAATCTACACTACAGGCAGTTACAAAACAATATATAAAACTATATATTATTCTGACATGTAGTGGGGTAGCTCATATGGGGTACAACACTTTAGGGTTTCCCACTTGTACTCCTCATGCTGCTCAATGCAATCATTCCTTGTTCTTTCGCAGCATGCTCGTCCGAGCACATCTCTTGTAGCGGAAACGAGCAGCACCTCGTTACCCTTATTCTGCAGCTTCACGCTGTTTTCCTTCAGCTGACCAGCATACAGCAGGTTCGCGTGCACGCCCGGAACGTACAGCACGTCGGGGATGAGAATCGGCTTCCCGGTCTCCCCTATTAGAGCAACTGTGCCACGGCCTTTGACGTTCTGAGCGCCCCGTTGAACCTGTGCACGTGACGGATTTCTCCTCCTGGCTTCATTTTGACGAAGTCCTCTCGCGTTCCCATCAGGTGATTGGAGCAGCCACTATCGTGGAGAACCATAGTCGGATTCGCCTGCACAGCTGCTGCGACCGCCTGGAAGTCAGCTCCAGCCTTGGCGCCAACGAAATAGTTGGCTCAACCACGCCGACCATCGAACAAGAGGCTTCTGTTCCGCTCGAGGTACCAGCCTCTGATGTCGACGGCGATTTCGACGACGCGGGCTTCTCCTTCCGCGGCTTGTCTCGACGCCGACGATCGTCGTCAGACTTCCCGTCCTTTGATTGACGAGCATCTTCGGACTTTTCGCGGCGTCCTTTCTGATCGTCGTCAGACTCGTCGCGGTCAGGGCAGTCATACGAGAGATGGTCAGGGTCTCTGCAAATGTAGCACCGTCGTCCTCCTCAACACGAACCACTGCTTCCGCGATCATTGCCCTTCGCAGACTTCCCGCGATCAGCGCTCTCTGTAGACTTGGTGTTCGATGACTTTCCGCCACCGCCTCCACCTCCGCCCGACTTTCCACGCTGCCCCATCTGACGTCCTTGCTTTGTCGGAGCGACGTAGTTGGCCTGCAGAAGGAGCTCTAAACATCGCTCAGACTCCTACATGAACTCATCCGGATGATGTGACTCGAAAGCGAATCCTCGTTCAGAGTCTCGCGCGCGCCGGGCATGATCAGCATCCGTCGCATCAGATTGTAGCTCGAGGGGAGGCTATTGATGATATGCGTGACATACGACGCCACCGAGTACTCGAAACCAGCCATCTGCATGTCGGCCAAAATCCGTCACGCTCGATTGCAGTACTTAGTCGCCGATTCCTGCTCGCCCATGCGAATGGTGGCCAATTTCTTCTCCAGTTGGCTGATATAGAGGTCGTCGGTCACTTTGCAGGTACGCATGATGTACTGCCACGCTTGGTAGCCGGCGTCCACACGAAGTTGGCACGGCTTTGATGCTACTTGCACCAGTGGCGAACAGCACCGCGAAAGGACCATGAAGGTCAGAAGATGAGTGGCACGAAATTGTGCCCACAATTCGGAGTCGTCTTCGTCCGGCATCTCCACCTTGCCGTCAACAAAATTCTTCAATCCAGCGATCTCCAGCTGCGGCTCTATGGATTCGATCCATATAATTAATTTGGGGCGTCCTTCGAGCAGCTTCGGCACAGCGATCTTGTCCGGCGAAAATTTGAAGTAGCCGTACGCCGGCGCGTTGCCTCCGTCACGACCAGCCAACGCATGAGTCGCCAAAATCAGCCTGACTCCACTCCGCCGAGGAGATTGACGTCGACCATCGATGTTGTTGTTCGAGCTGCCTGCAGCAGCCGTCAACCGCAGTTCTTGCGCCTGCACTCCGCCAACGCCGACGTCAGTGACCCGAATCACTCCACGAACCCTCGTGCTTCCTTCGCCGACAACATTGTCGCCGTCACCTTCGTTGTGCACAGGTCGGGGAGAGGCGGACGCGCCGTTCACTTCAGCACGGGGAGGGGGATTCTCACGCGCCCACTGCGCACGAGTTCAAGGGAGCAAAATCTCCAAGTCCACCTCGTCGTACCCGCCAGCTTCGTGGCGTGCCCGAACAGCATCCAACCGCGCTTGCAGAGTATCCTCTACTCCTGCATCGACTCCTTGGTCGTCCATGGCGGTCTCGCTGGTTGCCGACCTATAACGACTTAGGTATAGAGCGAAATGTTGTCTAACGCGGGGTCTGTCAGAATTATATTGTAGGCTGTAGTGGGGCACTCCTTATGGGGTACAGTACTGTTAGGTTTTGATATACAAACCTTGTACTGTCTTGTTTCTAGTCATTCTAGTTTCCTACTTTGTAACATGGTTTCAGAGCAGGTTCCCTAGTGGGAACGTTTTTCTAGGGCCCACCGTGTTAGCTTTTCTTTTTCCTGCCCTGCCCGAAGCGAGCCTCGCGCCTGCCTCGCCTGCGTCGTCGTGCGCTCACCCTCCTTCCGCCCTTAGCGGCTTTGCCCGTGCGGCCCGTCGCGCCCTCACCCTACGACCCGTCGCGGCCCTCCTGCCCTTTCCTAGCCGCCTTCGCGGCCCTGCCCTCGCGCCGCCCTTAGCAGCCCGCTTTCGCCGTACCCGCGGCCCTGCCCGACCCGCCCGCTGCGGCCTGCTTACGCCGCCCGGCGCGGACCTGCCCCGCCGCCTCTAGTCGCGGCCTTGCTACGTCACGGCCCCGACGCGGCCCTCCCTTTAGCCGCCGAGATGCGGCCCTGCCCTGCTGTCGCCCGGTCACGGCCCCTTCTCTCCCGCCGCCTCGTCGCGGCCCTGCCCTGCCGCCTCGCTGCGGCCCTGCCCTGCGCCCGCGTCGCCGCCCTGCAGTGCCGCCTCGTCGCGGCCTTGCCTGGCGTGGCCCTGACCTGCAACCTTGTCGCGGCCCTGCCCTGCAGCTGCGTCGCGGCTCTGCCCTGCCGCCTTGACGCGGCCCTGCCTGTTGCGGCCCCTGCCCTGCCGGAGCGCCACGGCCCTGCCCTACCAGTCGCGGCCCTACCCCACTCCCGCCCCTGGTAAGTGCACCGCCGTACCCGCGCCGCCCTGCCGAACCGTGCCGCCCTGCCGAGCCGCGCCGCCCTGCCGAGCCGCGTCACCCTGCTGAGTCGTGCTGCTACTGCTGCTGCTGCTACTACTGCTACAGCTACTGCCACTGCCGCCATGGCTAACCCTAATGTACTTACCTTCAATGCTGAGGGTCGAGCAGTTGATTTCGAGGTCTGGGTCGATGATCTGCAGCTTTTTCTGCAGTGCGACTCTAGGGACGGAGACTCACTGTTCGATCACACGTCCGGCGTCTCTGTTGCACCTGCTGCCGATGCTGACAGTGCAGTTCTCTCGCAATGGACCACGCGTGATGCTGCTGATCGTCTTGCTGTTCGTAGTCACCTGCCGTCTGCTGAGCGCGCGCACTTTAGCCAGTACAAGACTGATAAGACTCTGTATGACGCTGTTGTTGCGCGCTACCTCCCCTGCCTCTGCTGCCCTTAACCGCCTCATGCTGCCGTACTTGTTCCCTGACCTAGCCGCTTTTGCCACAGTCGCTGACCTTAATACGCACCTCCGCACTACTGACACCCGCTACCGCGCTGCGCTTCCTTCCGAGTTCTGCGCCAAGAACCCCCCCCCCCCCTATGTACATCACCCTCTACTACCTCGTCACCCGGCTCCCTGACTCCCTTCGCTCGGTCAGGGACCACTTCCTCTCCCTTTGCCCCACCACGCTCACCGTTGACCTCCTCGAGGAGCGCCTCTTTGCACCTGAGAAGAGTATAGTCGCGGTAGGAGCATCTCGTGGTGACCCTCGTGCCCCATTCTTTGGGGGGTGCCTCTGGGGATGCG